AGGAAAAATGTACGATTTACTGAGCCCTGTCAGGGAAAAATCTTGCGTGTGACTGAAAACCCACTTAATATTAAGAAACATTTCAAAGGGCTTTTTCTTAGACTGACATGAATTGGTTACACCATGGACTAACACATACTTGGTTCAGAAGATGACTTTCGCTCAGTTTGTCGACACTTAATGTCAGCAACGACCCACAGTTGTTTTCAGAGGATGAAATGGCACTACGGGTAGCCTTAATACTTAGATAGCGCTCAGGTTAGCCTCATTGCTATTGATTTGACAGTGGTTAGTTCAATAATTGTAAGTGTTAACCCTACAGACATCTGTATCCCACATTGACTCTTAGCTGTTGTGCCATTACTTTCGTCATTTTAAACATTGTCATAGTTACTGCAGTTTTAAACACACCCATATTTATTTCATAAACTTAGCCTAAAATCTAAAATGAGTAATGCTAATTTGCCGTGAAACATTATTCACTAGGACAATGGAAAATTAAAAGATTCCCTGAAGTGAACAAGACATACACATAGCCAGGTGACCTAGCCTTCCTACCTCTCTTTTGGATTGTGCAGGCTTCGAAGCTGACGTTGGTCGAGTTTCTTCGTGACCTTCTTTGTTTGCCGTGAGCACCAGAAGCCTTGGGTCTTTTCTTGGATTGTTTCCATCAGTCCTAAGGAAGGTTTTTCTCTTTTGAGTTGTTTAGTGTTCGTTAGTCGATTTTTTGCTACGTTGAAATTTTCCACATGTCTTTCGCCTTGTTTTGCGGTCTGGTGGTCTGCTGCTTCAACAAGTCCTCTTCAGCTGACTTGCCTGTCCCCCGTGCTATGTTCTTATCTACATTCTGGGCGCTTAGATTTCTTCACTTTGAGTTTTTTTGTCGGTAACGTATCGTGTTGTTTTTACGTTCACCGTTCGTTTTTTTTTCATAATTGCCTCTGTACCGCTTCAGATTTCTATTTTCTGCCGTGGTACTCGCAGGGCTTCTCTTTTTTTCTCGTTTTCTCTTGCTGTTCTGTTCTTATTGTTCAACCACAGTTGGTCACTGACTTTTGAGGCTTTTGGACTTGTGCATATTGTTTGTCCCCAGACCTTGCTGGGGTTGTATATAGTTTGAAGTCTTAACCCTTCGACTGGGTATCACTGGAAACATCTTTTCCTCCTGCAGAAGTTGAGTATAGATGATGCCAAGTTTGGTCAAAGGTGATGACGTCAGAAGTGCAACAAAGGCCAAGCCTCGTCACGGCCGGTTAAGGGCGGCACGGGAGTCGATGGGAGTCTTATATTTTTGCTTCGTAGTCTTCTGGAGTATTGCTGCACTTTTCGCTTATGCAGATGTCCGTCCTTGACAATGGCATTTCCGGCCATTGTGGAGCTTTG